AAAATAAAAAAATAAAATAAAATAGTGGTTGTTTGATTGGGCCAGTTATCTGGGTTTTGTTGGACCCTTTAGGGCACCAGCCTGTTATCCTTCAACGGCTGAGAGCGGAAGGTGACGCTGCTCTGTGAAGCCAGCCTGACGCATTACCTTTCACACTTTTAGTACCAAAGTAGCGCCCAGGCCTTCGCCTGGCCCACGTTGGTCAACACTCAACTTGGAACGGGCAGGCCAGCAATTAGCCCCACTGAGCCCAACCCATCAACAATAGTCCAACATCCAACCACCTTATCGTCCCCACTTGGGTTGCAAGCCCGCGTTACCAAGCTCGACGCTAGATATTCATAAAGTAAACTGTATAAATGCTGAAGCTTAAGATTTGTTTCTCAAAGTGGGACTAAAAAGCTAAACTAGCTAAGTTCAATGAACAGTCTGAGTGTCTGACAGATTTGTATTGGTTTAGACTTTAGAGTTGAGGTTTCTAAACTTCAACTGACCTACACATAACTAGGACTTTGAACATTGTTTATCTTTGCACAATCTGAAGTTTGGGATCCCTTTGGAAACTGGGAAAAATGTTGAAGATTGGGAGTATATAAATGATTTCAGAAGTCAATATAGATAAGATAATGTAGTATAATATATATTGAATCTCATTTCCGTTTAAGCAACGTTCATGAGTAGATAAATATAATTGTTGTTTTGAATGCTTACATTATAATATCTTGCTCAGGTTTCACTGTTTACTCAGACCTGAAAAATATGGGATTTTGTATGATGGTAGCCACTGATCTCCTTGTAGAAAATTGGCTACTGTAAATTGACTAGCCTCAGCTGAGCTGTTGATTACTCTGTAACCTGGCCAAGTAACACGGTTACTCGTATTTGAACCTGGACCTCGGTTCATGTACTCCCCGTAGTAGAGGGTATCTAGAGCAAATGTTCCATTCCATTCCAACCATCCTTTGGGGTCAACTAGATCATCAAGTTGTGAGTTGATAAAAACTGTTCTAGAACAATTTTTCCATGGTCTGCCCAAGTATGTCTTAAATTGTGATTTTACTGGAAGAAGATCAGCTGCAGCAGCAACTTTGCATGATATGATGGAAATGCCAGTGTTTTGGTTACAATCTTCTCTTCCTTGAGCAGTAAAGATGTTCTGTTGGTTAGGATTAGGACGACGAGCATATAAGTTGCAATTCTGCAGTACAGCAGCTGCATTTCCAAATATGAAGTCAATTGTTCCATATATATCACAATCTTTGTAGAATTGTCGATAAGTGTGAACATATAATGTATCCTGATAGCCCACAAAGCTACACCGATAAAATGCAGACTGATCTGCGGTACTTCTAAGAGCCACTGCTTGATGTTTATAAGGCCCTGCTGCATTTTCTACTGTTAAATCTCTAGCGATAAATCCATCTCCCACCACAGCTGCATCAATATCCAATATCATCATATTAAACACAAACTATCCAAATAAGTCCAAACTATTTCTTTTAGAATAATTCAAAATTTAGAATAAACATATTTGATCTTCATCTCCAAGACCAAGAGAGCCTCACATGGTTTCCAAATTGACCAGAGCATTCTTGTGTCTCTATTGTGGGGCTGATACTGCCTTCATTGTCTGGTCTTTAATCAATACAGTTTTTAATGCAAAGGTGACAGGTACACAGTACACTCCATTAATTCTCTTCATTAAGACTTACAACAACACTATGATTTTGACTCTTGATCCATAACCATTGGTGTTTTCATCCATGTTGACATAAATCTAAATCTAGTTTTCTAACATGTTTGTTATTGTTTAGTTTACAGACAAAGTTTTGGTATTAGCTCACTGAACCAATATTATTTAATTTGTCCTAATAGTTCTTCATATCATGTTTTTTGTTTGTTCAATTATGCATCAAAATATCAAAGCCAATGAGATGATCCAGGGACCATTTGATGGTCTTTTTTATGCGCGCACGCCACATCCACCAAAAAGAAAAAATCAGCTAGAAATTATTTTCAATATATATACCTTTCTCTTATCTTTATTAATAATGTGTATTTTAGACGGACCTATATCATCAAAATCTTGTATCTACCAGAAACCCTCATGTTAAACATATGTTCTCCTATTTCCTATAAATCAGTATATTTCGCCGGAAGAATGTTTCCCTGTACATCTATACTCTTAATAGGGGAAAAAAATTAAAAAAAACGTTTTTGAAATTAGAATTACAACTCTTAAAAAATGTTTCAAAGTTTGCAAATGCAAAGAGTTTGTGGATTTAGATTACATTAAAAACTTTTTCAGTCATCCATAATCCATCAAGTAATAGTGATTTGTGTCGGCAGAGAACAAAAGTGTACAAGATGACAATGTGCCCATACCCTAAGAACAAAAACAGACCCATGAAGAAAATGCTTTTTGTTTTTTGTTTTAGCCATTATATTGGAGCTATTAATCACTAGAAACTGATTTTGTGTATGGTTTGCAGTATCAAAAGATTGCGGAAATTAGACATGATAGATATAAGGAAAAACATACCTAGGGTTGCTGATTGGTAAGTAGTCCAACCATCAACAGCATTCCGGCTAGCCTTAATGACAGTTTTCCCAAGTCCATCACCTACAAACATGATCATTTGCTTCTTCTTCACAACCTCTACGTTCTCAAAATAACCGCCGGCTTTTATATGAATCACAAATCTTTTTGTAGAATTAGGAGCTGCATTGACAGCATCAGTAATTGTAGTAAAATTCCCACTACCATCTTTTGCTACAACTAAATCAAATTTTATAGCCTCAACCGGAGTTTGTAATAGATGTCTATCTTTACGTGACATCCATCCAGGAAATCCACCAACCATTTTACCATACTCACTCTCAGATTTATTCAAATTAGGAATCTTTTTTAACATGACAAGAGAGTTGCTAAGAGAATGAGTAATCTTGTTCAAACCTTTCATTAGTAATTTTCTCACCTTTTCATGATCACCATGAGCAAACCCATCAAGACATGTATACTGATTTGTCATCGCAGCACTAAAAAGGGTCTGCAAGTCATTGTAATGCTTTGCAGATGTGGAAGTAGTAGACAAGTCTGACAATGTAGCATTCAGGTCATAAACAGTATAATCAAAAAGCTCGAGACAATCGTCTAAAGCTCGTTTTTGAAGTTGGTCTAGTTTCCTAAGCCTTTGTCGAATGCGGGTGCAGTTCACAGCAGAGGACTTAACCAATCTAACTGTGTTATCCACAACAGAAGATATGATTTGTGGGATTGATTTTTGTGAGAGATTTGGAATGGAAGAAAGAGTTGAAAAACATAGTTCTGGATATAATGTACCTTCACAAGTAGAGTGAGTGAGTTGAAGATGTTTGGAGATATGTAACAGTGGTTTGTTTTGAGAGGTTTTTGAGTCATGTTTGAGTGGTTTAAATGTAAAAAATAGTAGCAAAAGAAGAGCTGTGATGGGTAAGAGTGATGATACGAATTTGGCTCTTCTTGGAAGAATATACATTCTATGTTTGTTGTTTGGGAAAAATGTGTATTGTGAGATGTATGAAGAGAGATGAACAGAACAAGAACATACAGTGAGATAATATGATTCTCAATAGACTGAGATTTGTTGTCTTTTTAAATAGACTTTTTACTGGGCCCAGGTTATTGGGATTTGAAGTTTTTTTTTTTTGGGTGGGAGATTCATATTAGATCTAAATCTTCATTTATATAAGATGAATTTGAAATTCAATAAATATGAAATCTTCATTCTAATTATTTACTAATTGTTAAATATTTAGTACCTGATTTGCAGATCTAGAGATCTTGTTTAAATCTGATATAAGAGTGAAGAAATTTTGAATCTTAGCTCCAATTTGATTTAAAAGATATAATTTTAAGTGTCAGATGATCGATCTAACTTTTAGATTACATAATCACTTAATAAAATGTTAATTGTTATAACTGGGCTAACCTCCCACAGTAAACTGCTTGATCACTCAATAAAATGTTTCGGTGTTTGTCAGAGTTTAATCCAGTTATACTCAGATGGATGTAGATGATCACAAACAATCTGTATTGTTTGTACATCGATGGACAGTACAGAAACGTGCATATCATAGTATCATATGTACTCGCGAAAAGGGTTGATACATACATACACTTAACAGGTTGAAGCAAGACAAAACATGTGATCTTGGAGAATTTTGTTCATTTGAAACTTGAAACAAGAAGAAACATAAATGCTCTTAAATGATACACTCGTAGTCGTACAGGTAATTTATTCCCAATCCAAGTGATTTGAAAAATAGCGTATGTGGTATGTGATCCCATAATGCATGTGAGAAAATATTTACAAGTACTCTGCATTACTGCACACCTTAACTCGGCCCGGCATGAAGTAAATGTCAGAGTCACATTTTTGGGTTCAATGACAGATCGATCTCAACTTCTCAAGCATGCATAAATTAAACCAGGTCTGTGGTCCATTTCGATCACATGCTAGTTTGGTAGGTACATATTTTCGGTATCAACTCAGCTTAAAAGCTCGATGTCAATATTACAGGAATCAAGGATACTCTTAACTCCCAACCAAAGTGGTTGCGCGCGGCTTGACATTCAAGTTTTTTTTATGTACCTAAATGCACACTTTCGAGACCTAGAAAATAAAGGGCAACTTGTGTGTTTATAGGGCTCAGTCTTAATTAAATTAAAGCTAGAAGGCATGCAGCTTTTATTTTTGACAAAGAAAGGAATAAAGAACCATACTCCACATTGAAGCATAACTTCAACTTTGTCGAGAGAAAAGCATAAAGACAGAGCTGAAATACACTTTACTTCCAAGAAAAACAATGTTAAACTAACAGTCCTTACATGCACCTCGATCTATTACTTCATATATAAGAAACCAATTCAACAACGAACATGCTCAATTAATCCTGTTTTGTTTACGATGTCAATAGTTAATCTCTTCTTATTAGTTGTTGTTCTGATCATTCTCCTACCTTCAATTGAAGCTATTTCTACTAGTACTACTTTTACTCATGAACAAAATCTTACCATGCAAACTACGATGATAAACCAAGTTTGCATGGACACATTCAATTTTGAGTCATGCCATTCCAAATTCCAAGCAGAGGAAAGAAAAAGTCCTATGTCAATTCTTCATGCCGCACTCAAGATGACAATGGCTGAAGCACAATGGGCTATTGCTGAGCTAACAAAGTTCACTGCTTTGTCCATAAATCCTCGTGAACAAATTGCAGTTGAAGATTGCATGGAACTCCTTGATTATTCTGTTGTAGAGTTGGCATGGTCTATGCAAGAAATGGAG